CATTAAGATATCGGATGTCCGTCAGTCATCACTTGAAAGAGACTGCATTTGAGCTGTGGGAGGGTCGTATTGGAGACATTAGCTGGAGGTTGTGTTTCCTTATGAGCGGCTTATTGTTAGCAGGAATTTTGAGAGATTTAGGAACACGCTTTCGTCGTTTCTGCATAGCGGGTGCTGTAGTTCACTAGCCTTTCTTTTCACTATATTTGCCGTATTACTGTGACACTTCGATGACCGTGTGGCCCGCCGGTGTGCCACACGTTCAGTTGAGGCGACTCGTTTTCGTGGTTCAATTGGCATTTTTCAATGGTTATCGTCAAGTGGTTGAATCGCTGCCCCCTCCCCTTTATTCCCCCTCTACCGAAAGTGAAGGCAACAGACAGGCAACAAATCGCACTGGATCGCAGTGGGGTAGAAAGTAGGTGAAATTATTAATTAAAGGCAGAATTTATGAAGAGAAAGCAACTCATTCAAATTAAGTTAGGAGTGGTACACGAAAGAAGGAAAAACCATGAGAAACGGCCCAGAACCCGAGAAATGGGACCCCTTCCTTGCCCGTTGATTTGAGCATTGATGCGACTCTCATCGCTGTGCCCTCTTCAACACTACGCTCTCTCTGCTATCTAATCACTCGCCACGTATAGACCTGCGGCGAGTGATTAGATAGTCGGTGGGCGTTATCCTCAGGAGGTCCGCTTGTATCACCACTAAGCGTAGCTTATGCTCAGGGTCGAGCTGGTAAGCAATTTTGCAATTCTTCGGCCTTAGTCCTTATCATGGAATCCTTCCTCAATGGAGAAGAGGGGTAGAGTCGTGCTTGAGTAATCCCCTCGTCACCAGCTCGACCCTGAGCATAAGCTACACCGTCGAAGGGTAACCTTTGAGTGAGGGAAGAAGATTTGAGGCTATTTATCAAAAAGCCTCGAAGTTAGGGGACACTCGACATTGGGCTCTCCAATCTTCTCACCACGGTTTGATATTTCGAGCCGAAATTTCAATTTACAAAGATAAAAAACACACAAAGCGTTCAACTTCACAACATATAGAGTTACCATAACTCCAGTTGTAAGCAGAAAATTGATTTCTTAGTATTCTATGTCATATTTCTGTATTTTTTCTGCAATTCTCACAATATGTGATCATGGAATCCAGCGAAAACCACAAGGTGTCTTCGCGATGCGCTTCTTACCATCAGTAAAACCCACAACAAGAAGTCATCTTTGCGGAATAACAGTGAGAATACGCGCAATATCACACCGTACGAGTGGATGCAGATAAACGGCCGCTACATAGGGAGCAATAGGCTACCAAACATAACCCACTAATCGGGAGCAAGGCCCCAGCTCCCTTGTCGTTCTTGTCACTCCCGAACTGTGCAAGGGCGCATCGGTAATATTCGCAAACAGCTGTAAATATCCAAACAGCGGAATCAGTGCTCGTAATTCGGGACGTGTCTCTAAGTCACTGTTTCCTACATCTCGGGCCGTTCTAATTCGAGTAGAACGAGTTCGAAGCAATGGCAGGTCTAGGTCGAGCGAATAGCGGAAACCTCCCACTCTCCAGTCCACGATAGGAGGAGAAGTCCATTGCTTCGCTAGTGGGGGGGGGATGGTGGAGAGTGCTCAGCATTATTTCTTCTAAGGGAAGCAGTGGTGAATATTTGCGAATTTTTCACATTTTATTGTTGGCAAGAAACACGATGGACCTACTCTCCTTGAAGCAGTTAGAGCATGGAGGTAAAGTATTAAAGTTGTACTAGAGGGGTCGTGGGATGCTCGCAGTGACACTGAGCTAAACTACGTCCTCATGGGGTTGTGGTTTCAGCTCCAGGCTCAGATCCACGATGCGCTGTGAAATTTCTCTTTCTCGTTACAAACTTAGCTGCATAGCTCACCTTCTTGCACTTGTAATGCCTTCGTTTTCTTTAAAACGAGTCGGTGAAAAAATAATTGGTCCCATAGAAATAACCCCGTGAGTCTCTCGTGGTCTTTGTGGTCCTTCCCTTTGCTATCGAGAACATGAACACTTTGGGCCTGGGGATGGCTTCCTCTTGACGATTCAACTGCCGTTCCGTCAGTAATGCTGTTTTTAGGAGATCGGTGTTCATGGACTAGTATCTGCTGCAGTTGCATTAGGCCGTGAACTGCATCTCTGAAGGCATTGCTAATCGTGGAGAAGCGAGGAAAACCCAGCGACGCCGAAACAGGTGGCTGAAGCAAGTGGATGCAAAGAAAGGTGAACATCTTGAAGCATGTACACTATTAAAACTATCCAAGACTTGCGAATGAAACATTTTATCAAAAGGGCCAGCCGAGTAGTTATCATAGAATCGGTTACGTTTGCCCCCCCCCCCCCCCCCCCCCCCTCAATCGTTCAATGTTATATAGTTGTTTCTCAATAGAAGACCTGGGAAGACTTCCCGTAGCTGAAAACGGAGAGCAACCATCCATTTCAGATACGTCAAGGAATGGTTGTCGGTCATGGCAACCAGCGAAATCATCGAGGTCAACGAAGAGGAGAAATTCTGGATCCCAAAGGAGAATGTCGCGGTATGTTATGACAGTAGAATTAGTGCTGACAAGAAGGTCAACTGATCAATCTGACCATCTGTAATGAGGTATACTATACCACACTTAATGGGCCTCAAGGCGTCAAGCTCAAAATATATGGTGGATTCGCGTACATAATATACTGCTTAACATGTACTTGCACCTTAAACCCTCCTAAAGGAAACATGTTGAGCGCGTAACACACACAGGGCTTGACCAAGAGAAGTGAGACCAGTTCACGTCCTGCCCTTTCAGAAAGCATTAATCACATTTTGCTAATCTCGAATGCCTCTAACTTATCCTTGGAATACACTTTCCCATAGCCTTCTGCATAAGTGACATCACAAATCGCATCGCAGCTTCAGGTTGGAACGATCTACGGTAGGCCTTCTGGAGCTTAAGCGCAGCTGAAAACCTACCATCTTCCGCGACTTCCTTCGCTATAACTACTGATCAGCTCTCTCATCTAGCAACAAGTGAGATCAACCAGAAGGTGGGCGGGGTCATGTTCCCTAACCCATGGTGCACTAGTGGTTCATTCATTTCCGGTGCTGGCCTTTTTTCTGAAGATGATCCACATTTCAACCGTCATGCGGCTGACAATCTCACCACGTTACTCACAGTGCCCTACTGTTGAATGGATCTTGGACAATCTTAATATTTACTTGTACGAAACACAGTACGCCCGCGACTCGTTAGCTGACATTGATTAATTTGCATCTCAATCTTTGAACTAAATCGCTAATCCAAAAGCGATGCTACAGTCAATCACGCCCCTCTAGTTTTTCCCCAGTTCTTCCGCTTATGCCAGTTCATGGATTCACTCGGTGGATGTGGGCTGGAACCAGCGCGCGTACGAAACCACAACTGGCAGTAGCCCAGCTACAAAACAACTAGACAGTTCTGACAACGAAAGCCCAATGTTTAACACATTGCGTACCGCGTGCGCCACCCTGTGGCACACGATTTCGCACGAAACAGCCTAGTTTTATTTGATTTATTTGCCATTTTTCAATGCTCTCGAACTGTTTGCGGTCATTTTCAGAGCCGGAAAACCATACGTGTCATCACTGGTAAAATTGTTGCGACAGATTAATATTGAGCTTTTTAAAAAATTCACCAATATATACGAAGTACTCATACAGGCGTCCGCAATGTTTAAGTCATATTAAAGCCAGTCAGGATTAGGCAACCAGCAGAAGTTCTTCCCAGGGTGCGATAGTGGGCTCCCCAAGCACTGAGGGCGCGACACTATCGCGACCCAAAAGTGCGCGGCAATGGCGCTAAGGCCTTGCCCGCCGCGCTGCCCGCGCTGCCAGCGTAATCCACCACGGCATACGTGGTCTCTGCGTCCTCTCGCGTATGACGTACTATCTCGCGTTCTCCCTCTCCTCGCAGCGCTGTGTCTCTCCGTCGAACTACGGCCGGCCTCTTAAGGGAAATTTAGTGTTCTCAATGGTGCTTTTTGCTTTTATATGTCATCATTGCATCACTTCTTAAATTTGAACAATCAATAATCGTCATCAATTAATACGACTCCTCTTTAAGCAGCTGATATTTGTAACGAAATGTATCGAAACATCTGAAATTGAAAAAAGCCTGCAGTAATCATTGAATTATCCCATGATGACGAGTTCTTGTTCCAGGAGCTGACAACTGGCTTATCTTTGCAATTCAACACATTCCTCCCCCTACTTCTCAAAAGTTACGGCAATGTATGCGAGGTATTCAAGAAGGATGGTCCACTTGGTAATAATATTTTTGATCTATTCAAATCGCCTTCGAAGTCGACGGGTGAAAATATATACAGCAATGTATGAGGGGTTAAATTTTGCCAAAAATTTTATTCGCCTCGCTTGATTTCTGATGAGACCCTGAAAAAAAAATTAAAAAGGGTCGTCATAGCCACTCAGTAAGAAAACGTACTTACTAGAATGTGGCTCTCTGAAGGCCGATCTCAAATCTACCTTTCCAATCTGCCTGATGATTTTCAGCAGTGTTATGAAAGAGTGCGGAGGTAGTGGTTGAGGCTATCATACAGTACGTCGCAGGATCGATTCCTTGCCTTGTTTGCACTTTTGCTGTTGTCGAAAATATGACTTCAAAAGATTTGTAAAAGCATTTCGCATCATTAACGTTGCCTACAGTTGGCCTGCGCACGAGAGATCGGGAACATTTACCGCCAAGTTTAGCGAACGTTTTCTCCACGGCACCTTATAATGATCGTAGCAGAAGCGCTAGCGGGGTCAGTCGTCCGTTGTTTCTTCAAATTTTGAGGATCCTTTTATAGAGGTCTCGTTGCGTCCCTCACCACCACTGGTCCACAAGTAGTGAGTTTCCCTAACAGTTAAGAGACTACCTCTTCCCCTGATTACCACCTCTCGCTTCATGAGCTGTTTCTATGGTATTTTCATTCCGAGACTGGTCGACATAGCCCAGCCCCGCCCACAGTGTCCTCCAAAGCAGCGGGTTGATATATCAAATGAAGCCGCTCCACCAACTCGAAATACGGGTCCGCTCAAGAATTTGAATGTGACCCCATTCCGTTAAGAACTATACAACTTCGACCCGGCTTGGCTAACGGTTTTGCACATTGACGATTGGTGGCATTACGATATTGTGATTTGATCTAACAAAGTTCCTCGGCTACTTTCAACCATATCTGACAATTCGAGAGACCCAATAGGTAATTCACATCATAAGAAAGAAATCAATTCCTACAGATTTTTTCTCACCTTCTGTTCTATTGATTTGCGTTTGCAGCGACTTAAATAATTCGGATATTTACTGTTTCTGACAGTGTATGTTCATCGTTCAGCGCAGCTTTGGCACAGAGCACTCATCAGTGATTTCTATACCCTCTCTTGGTGGCTGATCTTGCAGGGGCGGGGGGGGGGGGGGGGTGGGTGGGGGGGGGGCGGTGCTGATTTGCCTGTCAGTTCTATTCTCTTTTCAATAGAAGAACTTTCTAGTATTCTTGAGTGAAGTGCTCTTTTCAGGAGCGTCTCGAGAATGGAGATATGATGTGCTTGGATGTTGGATGTGGAAATGGTTTTCACGCAGCACGTTTGGGTGAATTTTGACGAGCGTTTACTTCCCAGGAAAAAAATCGCATTTCGTTCTCTTTATGAGCATAGCTCTCTTTAGCTTGCATCTCACTAACATGGCCATCCACATGGTCGTCATATGGTTGTTCGAGTTTACTCTCTTTTTACCGCCTGGGGCCCATCATAATAGCAGAAAAACCATGGGAAGGGACCCCTCCCGTAGCCGTTAATTTTTCTTTGATGCGATTCTTATCCTTGCTATGCTCTTCAACGCTAACGCTCTCTCTGCTAAACGGCTAGAGACCTGCGGCGAGTGGTTAGCCAGTCGGTGGGCGTGCCGCGTCGATAGCGCCGCGGGGAAGGCCATGCTAGATCGCCGGGGTATCCTTCGTTGCGAATTATGTCGGTCCGCACCCTCAGGAGGTCCGCCCATCCCTCCTTCTTCCTCCAGGTAAGTTCCCCTTTCCCAATGTCGAACTTATCGTGGGATCCTCCCTAGGAGCATTGCAAGAGCACATGTGATATCGATTTTCTATTGAAGTCACCGCCACGTATGCGACTTACTACGTTACATGTTCCGTTAACCACATCTGTCGTTTTCTTTTTCTCTATAAGAGAGACACATTCCACGATCAGTTAGAAGTGAGTACTGGCTTGAGAGAGAATTGAGGTGGGAGGTTGCTTACTACTGAAAAAAGGAAGGAAACTGTCAAAAAGAATTAAGTGGCCCATTTTTTTGTGCTGAGATATTTCTATGCGAGTATACGTAACAGACTGTATGGGAAAGAAAGACTCCGCGAGAGAAGATAGTACGATACGATTCGCTAGCGAATCGCTCGATTCGCAATCTCTGACATCGGCCTAAAACGGATGAGCGATACGCAGACACCTACGCATTTGCCACGGTGGACGGTGCGAAGCCTCACGAGGCAGCGAGTGTCCCAAATTCCCGCGATGCCCGCGCCACATGCTTTGTTTTGTGCTTCTGTTAGACCTTGAAGATAAGAGGGGACTTTGCGGATAACCCTATAGATGCGTACATACGAGCGACACACCAAGTATTCACCAGATGTTTCATTAAATAAGAAGATACACTTTTTGCTCCGACGTAATTCGTCATATACACTGGTGCTGACAAGCGATGATAGAGGTCAGCTGAAACCTGAAGGAACCCATTGCTGACAAGCATGGCTGCGAGTTTGAGCTCTAATAAGGGCCGATCGTTTTGCACAGTTCAGAGTACTTGTGATGTGTTGTATTTCACTCCGATTGTCATAAAAACGCACTGTAATAAATTTTGGCTCAGGTCACAATAATAGTTAATTTTAAAATATTGATATTCCAGCGCAAGCCTACCCAAAGTCGAACTTTACGGGCATTGACGTGACCCTGGACGCGGTACACCAGGCCAATCAACGAAGGTGAGCCGAAGTTGATGTTAAGTCCTGCATGTCTGAAACTCTTGCTTTGACATCATTTTCGTTACAGCATATATCTCATCATTCAGAAAGGACAATGGTGAAACGTTCGACAATTTGGCATTCATTCAAATGAATGCCGGCTCAATGGATGCTGACTGGACGGTACAAGTTACGGACGTGGTGACAATGCTTTTGACGCTCTGTCACAGATCAGATGAGACCTGACCTGGTGAGGATTTGATTCCAGCCAGTCTTAGCTCGATCAATGCACGAATTCTGGGACTATTTTATGCACCCTTTGCTCGACGCCAGTAGAGCAATGAGAAGAGACAGTAAGGAGATCTCAGGGGAATTATCAACGGGAAGTTGTCTCTTTTACCCCACTAGAGTGACCGTTGCGATCAATAGAATCAATGTGTGAAGTTTCGCGCTCAAGATTCAAGAAAGGTAGAAACCTTTGAAATCATCCTCTGTGGACCCCAACCGACCCCTGCGCTGAGGCAGTGGGACGGGGTCACCGTCGTGTTCGCACTTTTTCAAAAATTTTGTGACACCCTCCTGTTGGCTGTTACTAGTATGTATATATGACCCTGAGACCAGTCGACACAGCCCAACTCCGCCCACTTTCCCTCTAAAAAACAGCCGTCGAGCGAGGGGCTCAACCCCCGCAAGTCATTGTATAGGCCACATCGCATTCAAATGCCACTGCGAATGTACAAATGGAAGTAGAATGCGTGCCGCATCCCAAAAAGGGATTGATCAACGGCAAATGCTTTATCCTTTTATGCTTTATGTGTGGACTAATAATTCAGTGATTTCTACAAAATCACATGTAATGAGCAGGGTCGGCTGTACTCGGTGTGAGCCTTATGTAGTTCGAATATTCTTCGTTATTTCAGTGTCTCAAGGAGATTCACAGAGTTCTAAAGCCAGGAGGCGTCTTTGGGATGTTGGAGGTGGGGTTTTTATGTTACTTGCCTTTCTTTGAATTCATCACTGAATATTTTGCAGATAAAAGGAACGTCGAATGTGTACACCGATCGCAAGGAAATGGGACCACCTGCTGCATACATGTATGCCTGTTCAATGTTCCATTGCCTCCCAGTAGGCAGTAATTCGCCAGGTGAGGTAGCAGAAGTGTTTTGGTGACGGATCTGTCTCTCGGTAGTTTACGTACAGCGTTTCCGACAGCGTGGGGTGTGTCCTCACTAACGCTTTTTAGAGGTACTGCAAGTACACCAACAAAAAGGCCGATTCAGACTTTGCGAATTGGACGGCCCGGTTCTGACTGGCTAGCGTCCGCGGTCGCGTTGCGGTACCAGCCAATTGAGTGATTCACTGGCCGCGACGCGACCGTGGACGCAAGCGAATCGCCTCGATTCGCAAGGCATGATGTAGGCCTAGGAAAGCTCCCTTCACAGACGGGGACAATATTACTGGGTGTACCGATTGTTTTGAACTTTTTCGATTCTTGTTGAATATATTCCCGTTCCATTTTCTCATTATATGTAGCCTGAACGTATTGCTACTGATTCCGAAGTAGTTCGACTTTTCGCTTTGCAAATTGCAACCATCAAACTTCAGATCGCTATGCGAACCCTTTTTTGTCAAGCTCTCAAAATTTCAAACATTGTATTTCAAACAACAATTTCGAACAGCGTTCGGACTCGATATTTGTTGGAAACCACAACAGTGTCTTCACTTTGGAGAGGGTTAACGGTGAATCCAATGAGGGCCTTGCTCGGGTACACTGAATGGGAGTGTTCTTGGAACACTGCGTCGAGCAGATCTCCGACTGCGCTGGTCAGAAGAATGGCTCTCCATTCTTTCGATTGCTGACGGTAGCAATCGTCTAAACTCCTAGAGCGAAATCAAACGTGCACAGTTGGTGCCGTTAAGCGTTTTCGCTGATTTCGTATCAGAGGTGTACTGTGCACGAACGTTTTTTATTTCGTAGTGAGTTAGCCTGATAACCTCCAAGCTGACCCTCGGCCTTCAAACCGGCAGAAAGTTGTCGGTGCAAACGCATACACCTCAAGTGACGAGGTTCACCAAAAATTGGCAATTTTTTTCATGATTTAACCTGTTCAGTTGTAATTAGATAGTTGACTAACTTTTACAACATGCATTTTACTATAAAATCAGCCATTACTTTTAACCGTCTACGAAGTAGACATGACTTAAGAGGCCATCTTCAGTTTGTGCTTTAGTCGTACCTCAAGCTTCGCTTCATTGAATAGGGGAGAGTAGTGACGTGAAGGAAATTCTGCGAGTTGTGGTCGTAGTTGAGACTTTGGAAGGGAAATTCGGCTTATGTTTTAATTGAAGAGGAATCTTTGCTCTGCAAAATAGTGATTGTCTCAATACCAGGCTTTGCTGTCTTCATGGCTTCGGGTCCTTTTCGCCCTATTTTCCCCGTACTTCCCCTCCCCCCAGAAAAATCCGAAGAATTACCCAGTGAGTGGAAGTAATAAGGTAGCTTTGTCAGCGTTGTCAGAGAGAAGGACTGGGACGTAAATTGAAGCTTCCCAGCAACGTGACAGTTCCAACCCTCCCAACAACGAGAATGACGAACTCTCATAAAAATCGTCCAACGCTTATTAAGTTGAATCAGCTCCAGCTGCTGTCTTCACTATAACATGCTATTGCAGACGCTCTCGGACTTGGGACGATGTGGGGAGAGAAAACAGCTGTGAAACTACTCAAAGAAGCCGGCTTCACTGATATCAACGTTGTTCCTACACCTCAGTTTGCTGTCAACGTCTTGTATGTGTGCAAGAAAAACTGAATATTGGATGCAGACTGGTAGTCCATGGACCCATGGAGACTACCGGTCCAACGAATATTTGTTATTCTTTTTATTTGAGATTATAGATATTCGGACCATTTTTATTTCATTACTTTGCTAAGAAGTATAAAGCGATTATTTCTTGTGATCATTGTTTACAACGAAACCAGCCAAAAGTAAAGGTTTCGTTTGAATTCAGGGAAACGCTTAATTTTAAACACTTCAAAGTTCCACCGATATTTAGGTGTAACTTAATTGACCAGAAAATGAGGTAAATTTGGAAGTGAGCAAGCCATAAATAAAGAGAGCAATGACGAAACTGCATAGAATTCCTAGTTTTCACACTTGGCTACTTTGAGACTGCATCACTGTCTCAATATGAGTTCGGTGGTTCTTACCTCTGCGAGAACAGCGGCTCAAGTGTCATTTATTGACGGCAATTGCACAAGCACTTCAAAAGGAAAGAGCCGTCTAGACAACTAGAATTTCTGTTTTCGAGGAACGACATTGAACTCCATGAATCTATGGGAAGACCTCGCTTCACCATTACATTTCCTCTTCCAACGTTCGTTTCCCTTCTTCCTACATTGACTCTTTTACTTTACATGTGAGTCCGCCAAAGTGTGAAGGAGACCGAGATGGCAGCAAACACCATCGCTTACCTCTCACAATAGCTCAAGGCGGCGTGCAATCTAGACGACAAGTAGGAGGCGAAAAGCTCTCCGCTGTTGCATGCCTGTGTTTTATACATACAGTGCGTCTCCTAATGATACAGCCGGCCAAGCCAACCTGAGGAACATCCTCTGGTCTGATATGTCTTGTTTTCCGTCTGCAATTCTTTTAATGCTTTTCGCTTCATATGGTTCTATCTTGAAAAAAAGTTTTCACTAGCAAAGAAAAACTCGAAGGAAAAGCAGATAGGAAGTAGAATATAACAGAGAAAAAAGCGGATCCTACCCCCGTTGGCTTGGCTACTCTTTCCTCCCAAAAATGCCCGGTTTCTTTTCAGAAACACTGCCGTTTTCACTTTCCGTCTAAGGGCTAACTCAGAACTTCTTCCCTACTTATCGAACATTATCCAGGAGAAGATTGGTTTGAAAGAAGACTCTAATTCCGAGCACGGCTTGATGAAATTGGATGTTATTTTCATAATTCCGCATTAATCTTGATCAAAAAGCAAAGAGGAGCTTTCAGAGCCCTTTCCAGCTTTATTTCCTACAGGATGCAAGAAGAAATTGTTTATCATTCCGTAGCTTCGACTAATTTTCCGCGCAATGTGACCACTGGCGCTTACTTACTTCTTCTTTTTTTTGCGACCATTTGCCTTTTTTCAAAATCCAACAACTGCTTTCCTTTCGTGATAACCTAGAAAAGAAAAATTGAGTACTGCCAATCAGTTTCATCAAGCAAAAATGAAATGCAACGAAGAAACACGGGGTGGCTGTATCATTTGGAGACATAGGAAAAGCGACCTTTTGAAAAATTAGCAAAAAAATTTTGCATTTTCAACCTGGAATTTTGTGTTGATTTTCGAATTTGCGATCAAATTTGACACATTTTCTCCTTGAACAGTTTTCCAGAAGCTTCATGGAATGAAGATTTTGAACAATTCGTAGGTGGCTGTATTATTAGGAACATAGTTCATGATCAGCTCGGACTGCGAACATTACGAGTCATCGCGAACTCGATTTTCGCGACACTAACCGAGCACAAGCAAGTTGTCGAGCGGAAGAACGAATTGAACCACAGGCAAGCTCAGCGATATATCCCGGACATAAGTCAATCAGTGGTGCATCTTTCAGCGTTGTTTAACCCTTTGGCGAATTACGACCCAATGTTGTGATACTCCTTTTTTTCCTGCGTGGTGCAATGTCGTCCATCGCTGAGTGGTACCCAAGAATTTTGGATTCGTAGATTTTTTGAAATTTCTAGCGATAATATGTTGATCAGGGTAGCTTGTGTTCACAACGAGTATCTTCCCTGTATCTTACCGATAGGTTGTTTTGAAGTGCTTCTCTTGAAGGCGGATTTTACAATGAAAGGCAGCTCATTCGAAGTAAGGGTAGAGGTGGTAAGTGGAGCAGGGATGAAGAATAAATCATAAAAAACGTCCCGAATTCAAGAATGGGACCCTCCCCCTGCCCATTGATCCGTGCTGCCCTCATCAATAACGCTGTGCTCTCTTCTACCTAATCACTCGCCGCTGGACCTACAGCGAGTGGCTGGATAATCGGTAGGCGTAACGGATCAACTTGTTCAAATAAAAGGAGAAATGGTAACATATGAAAAATGATATATAAAAAATAAATGGCTCGTTTCGCCTCTTAATCATACGAACCACTGTAACGATCATCCCCGAGGCTTCTTCAGTGATTAGGGATGAACTTGTGTTGAGTGTCTTATATGTTAGTCAATTATGAAAGGATGCATCAAGATTTTAGAAATAATAACAAGAAGAGAATGGAGAGAAAGAAGTTTATCGAGAATGAATGAAGTGACCACAGAATATTTAGGTATATTACCTAGATTGAATGGAATCATTACAAATGTCATGATATGATACTCAGTGTAGGTGTGTCAATAAATGTCAATGGAGCGAATAAACTAAAGAATCCCAGTGTAGGTATTCATAAAGTGCAAACAAACTGAGAAGTGTATAATGAGAGTCAGAAGAGTATAGCATTATGCTTTCAATGCTTATAAATACTGTACATGAGTTGTAGCAAAATTAGTCGAGCATGCTTCTAACAAATTTACTAATGTTACTTATATTGTTAGTGATTGAAAATTTATATCCAACAAATTTGTTTTTGTATATGCATTTGATGATATTAGCAATGATAAACTCTCTATCATATCCATTGCCAAGAACTGTACATACCAGTTCTGAAATTTTACATTTGAATAATTCTAGAGTAGAGCATGTGTGAGCAATTCTTAGTGCTTCTGTATAAATAACAGAGGCCTTGTTCTTGAGGGAAATGTTGGATTTTTCATGTGGGAACCTAAGAACTCTAAAATTGAAATCGTCGGTTTTATTATACATATTAGTAATTATTCTGTTATTAATAATCTTTATATTCAAATCTAGGTAGTTGCTATTATGATCATTTTCGTGTGTTTTTTTGAAAACCAATTTATTTTCATATACAGTATTGAGAGTTTCGTCTATGATTGATACCTCTTGATTGTGTACAACTAATAAGTCGTCCATATACCTGAATGGAATTATTAATCTATCCTCATCAAATTTTGTGTTTTTAGCATAGTTATATTCCATTATAGATAGGGTTAGATCTGCAAGCAATGGACTAAAATTACCGCCTTGTGGCACCCCTTTATTTTGCTTATATATATTATTACCAAATAGACAATAACTGTTCCTTAATAAGTAGTCTGTGAAATAAATAAGGTCACTGGCCGCATAGTATCTATAGCTATTTTTAAGCTCTTTACCATCCGAGTAATAAACATGATGCCCATTAGTAGCTATCATAGTCTTGCATGCGTTTTGGAAACAAATTTTGAGCAAGATTTGAATGTTTTTGAGAATGAGACTGTGTTCGAGATTGGTAAACATATCGGTAAAATCCGCAGTATATAACTTAAGGTTATGTTCAGTGATGTTATTTAATTCATGACTAATATTGATGTTGGAAATGGACCAAAAAGTTTTAATTGTTTTATTTCTATGTTGAACTACATTGACGTACTTGACGAAATGATTCTTGAGGTATTTGAATATGGTGTGCAGCTCTAGAGATAAAGGTTTTATGCTACTATTACGAGCTCCCGTGATGAATCTGAATTTGATGGGGTCTTTATGCAGCTTGGGAAGTGCATAAATGGTGGGAATCTCCATACATGTTGGAATTTGAAACTGATTACGTACACAGAAGAATTTGTGATTCAGTATGAGTGAATATTCATTGCTGCAATTAATGTGTTCATAGGTGTTGTTGGTATTCTGTTGTATTATCATGTCACTAGTGCTATTATAACTTAGCCCCATTTCTTTCATAATTACTTCTATATAGTACTTTTTACATATAATACCATAGTTATTACTAGCCTTATCTAAAGGACAAAAAATGAAATGTTTATGATAACCTCTAATAGTATTATATGGTAACTTTTCCCCAGAGCAAATCATCTTAGACTTGGTGAGTAATGGTTTGATTTTACTGCGGTAACTGATGTGGAAGTGTTTTAGTAATTTATTAGTAACATCATTATTAATGTTGTATTTTCTTCTGAAAAAGTTGATGACCTTTTGAACAGTATCTAGATAAGATTTCTTGACCTTATCTCTTGTTGTCCCATAATCTATTCTAAATTTAGTTCCCTTTTTCAACAAACTTCTCAATAGATTATCCTTAACTATTCCCAGATCTCCGGTTACTATATGCCCAACATTACTATTGATAAAATCTTTGAATGATGTGTCATTGCATAAACATTCACTTTTCATGATATGCCTTATGTTCTCATTATCTAGCTCTTTGAGTGTTTTATTGTAATTATATATTTTGCTTGAGGCTGTCCGGCCATACGTGTAAATAATTCTGATGGGTACGAATTCTTTAGATTTGTGCGTATTATTACTTATGATATTTTTTATGGCACTGGAATTGAAAATTTTGTTGAAGGGGATGTCATTGTAAATTCTGCTTTCGAAACCTACTGTTATATTGTGGAAACTAGTTTTTGGTTTATCATAATTGTAGTCATAATATTGAAAGTGGGCCAGTATACAAAATACTAAGTATTTAGTCCTATTATTGACACTCTGTAAAAAGTCTGTTGAAAGGGAGATTTTTAGAATCTTATCTTTTACTGAGATTCTTAAATAAACGATAGTATTCAACTGGCTTGAGTTCTCTTTCTTTTCGAGTTATTTCTTCAAGAACTTCGTCATAGGTCAGCCTATTCGTATTACTTCTTTTCTTATTGTTATTTCCTCTGTTGTTCCTATTTTTGGTAATTTTTAGACTGAAAAA